ACTGGTGGGGACGGCATTAATTAGGAACAGGTGATAAAATTTCCATGGAGGTTTTATCGAGAGAGATATATATACAGACGAATAATTGAGTACGTACTGATTTGAGTCTTCAGGAATCTTCCATTGTTACCTGCCTTCGTGTACACTCCGCAAATCAGAAGCAATCTCCATTTGTCCACGTGTTTCCACCATGGACTAAGCATACTTCCCGAATTCCTGTCTCTCTTCCTCATCCAGTTGGTTGGGTACTACCGCTCGTCGGCACATATGACACTTTTATTCCTTCACCTTTCTATCGATGCTCTCAAGTTTATTTTTGATATATCCTTCTAAAGGATCAGAGGTGACAACCGAGCGATTCCGTCTCATTATTCTCCAGTAGGAAGTAGGATACCCTTCGCAGTCGAGGCCTTCCCCAATAAGCCTTGCTCGTACTTTCACCGCCACGGCCTTGGTTTTGAATCGAAGGTATCCATTGAGAGTGGGTGAGGGAAATCGTAGGCAATGGGACGGGAAATTATAGGCGAGTTGCTGACATAGTGGCTTTAGTCCATGGTAACTGTGGGGTCTGTGCGAAGTTTTTCCTTGTTCATATGACTGGTGCGCGTATCCTGATTGCAGCCGCCTCTGTCGTTGCCAACAGACGCTGTCCAAGGGATTTTTGATGGCTCGAGGGAACCTTGTCCTAGAAAATATCAAAAGACCTTTTGGTGAGCATATATCTGCTTCCGATTAATTCTCTCCAAACCTATGCATTTATATTGATATTGAAATAATAAATGAAAGAGGGGTGCGCGCAAGTGGATGATTATGCTGTAGCTCGGGTTTGAGTGAGGAGGCAAGTGAATCACCAAAAATGCACTAAGCGTTAGGCGGGGCATGATGGACACCAGGAAGAATTATTAGATCCGGGTGGATGGCTTGGCGGCTTTGGCCATGGAAACTGTGGAATCTGCATGAAGTAGTTCTGTGCGCACACGTCAGGTTCGTGCACCTAAAGCGCAGCCAACAGACGAAGGCCAAGTACGTTTGGATGGCCTAGTGAAACCTTACTAATCACTCAGGGGGCTTCATTAGTCTGAAGAGAATTTGTCAAATACAGCCGTGTACTGGCAAAATTGTCTTTTAAATTCTAACAATTGACAATTTCAAAATTCCGTGGACTTGCCAATGGCGGAAGCACCAGTGATGAACTAGGGGTTTGTTCGTCGCAGTAGACTTTTGTGCTTTCGAGGGCCTGCATCGCACTGGGAAAGATAAAATATGGTATATTCCCAGAGTGACAGACGCAAACCAGTTAGCATGATTTCAGCATTTTACCAGGATCGAAGCAGATATTGCTAGAAGGTGTGTCTGAGAATCCATTTTCCACACACGAGCATGTTTGTCTAGTCGCCTGTCTTGCAAACCGATGATGAACTCGGGTGATGGACACGAATGCTTGAACTAGCACACGACCAATTTCTGCTGTCCTACCTATCCTCCTCACGTTCGATAGTTTCTGACTGTAGTAATTACGCAAACAAACACTCCTTACAAGCCAGCTCATTCTTATTTGAGGAAACCCACTGCGACTAAAATAGTAGGATCGACTGAGAAGTTTAAAATGACTACATAAAAAACAAACTGGTGTAATTTGAGGCAGTATTTTGAAAGGGGGATGGGGAAAATTCACACAAGAGGTTCTGTTTTGTGTTCATCAGCAAGCCATAACATAGACCGATGTGGATTACGAATGATAGCGAGGATAGACGATACTGACTGGAAAAGGCCAATTAATCCGGACGTGTTCCTGTTGTATCCGCAGGGTTTTGCTCTGCGTGAGGTAATTGGGAATTACCGGGAGACTGGTTTGGTTCCTGAGGTAAGCGCAGTTTCACTGTCAAATTAATGTCTATATGACTGCCTCTAGAGCATTTAGTAGTAATTCGGTTTGTATTACACTGCGTTTTATGGCAAGGATCTAGTACGCTGTCCTGGGTACTAAAATTTTAATAAGCTGAAGCGGGACACTGCAATCGTTCGAGGGGAAATTAGCCGACGCTGAAACGGAGTAGGCAACCTGATATATGATAACTTGGTCGCGATATTGAAGGAAGCCTAGAATGCCCGCAGAAGACCTTTCTGACAGGAAAAATTGGGTAGCAATATCCCATATCAAGGTGTAATTCTAAAATTAAGTTCAAAAGCAAACCTAATCCTTAACTTTATTATAAACATAATGCTAATCCTACTCCTAAACCTACCACAAACCCTAGCCCTAATCTTAGGCGTAACCTTGACCCTGGATCAAATCATTACCTTTACCTTTACCCTAGCCCTTACCTTAAACATAACATTAGCCTTAATCCTAATCCCACCCTAGCCCTAACACCAACCTTAGCCCCAACCTTAACACCAAACGCCAACCTAGAACGCAGTCCAAACCCCAACTCTAACTGAAACCCTTAAACGTAATACAAAACTTAATCCGAAACTCACTTCTTAGCCCGACACAAAATCAAACCCTAAATTTAACCCTACCTTTTAAACCAAAACATAAGGTTGTCCTTTTCCGTTCTACATTTGGCAACTTCTCCACCCACGATTTCAGCATTTTCCCCTTCGACTTAATTTACTTGCAATGCCCACATTCTGCTTACACTTGGAACCAGGAAAGCGTAACCAATCCGTGCCCGTACCCTGACACGCAGATTAGTCAACATGGATGTCCTTCGTTCTTCAGTTTCGGTCTGTGGCCTTGTTTGATCTCAAGCACAGTCAGACGCTTTGCCGTCGTGTTGATTCCCCAACTTCTCTCTAGACACCAGGCTTCATAATATTTGTCTCTCTCTCTCTCGCTGAGCCTTCGATGCAGAGCGCATATCGATCGCCTGCACGTGAGCACTTATCATGATTCCTTCCAGTTTAGTCCAATCAGCGAGATACGCTATTCACAGCACTCTGGCGCACAACTAACCCTCACGTCACAGTCAGTTGGAGAAGACGGTGCTACTGCTTGTCAAGGTCTAACTGCTCCCATCTCATGCGTTATTGCCGTGCAGATTGGTATTGATGAATTTCGTTGTTTTGTATGCCGGAGCAAATCCCCTTTGTTGTTTAGAGCGCAAAACAGTGGTAGAATTTAATTCCCTAATTTCGGTGCACACAGCTTAGTCAGCAGCTGACAAACGCCTAGAGAAAATCTTATGGCAAACCCTAGGTGAGGAGATGGTCAACCGCTGATCACTGAATTCAAAATTCTGGTAAATACTTGCATTTAAGAATCCGTGTCAAATATATGCACATGTGCCGGGAAAGTCGGCTGGTTGAGCCTCTAAACGTTGAAATGCATTTACCGAGACGAAGTCCGTGAATAACTGACATATATTTTGTGCATTTAAGGATTTTTCTTGTAATTTTAACGGCGCCGGGATCAGACATCTTACAAAGAGCATTCCCAGCCTCGTCAGTACGTTTAATTTTGTTTAAAATTGCACCACCGAACACAATTCACTCGAAGTATCCTTTGTCTCGTCTGTGCGACAAAATTCTTTTTAGTTCATTCGGAATCTTCTTGTACGTTTGCAGCCTCCCATCAACGGCCCCAGCATGCGGTTTCTCAAAGTGAGCACTTCGGTTTGTCCACCAGAAGGAATTGACGCTGCTGACCCCAAACACAATCACGACCTCGTCGTCATTGTGAAATCAGCCGTCTACAACTTCGAGGACAGACAAAACTTTCGCAGATTCTACGCCCATCTGAGAAAGGAGAATAGCGCTAAACTACCTTATCGCATAGGAGTAGTGTTCGTGGTGGGCCTGCCCACAAGCACAAGCAGCAACTCCTTCCAACGTGATGGTTTCAACATCTCACTGCCCGGTCGCGCCGGCAACTCGCTCGTCAACATTGCAAACCGCCGCGCCCATATTCAAATGCGACTGCAGCAGGAGATGCGTGAACAGGATGATCTCATCGTGGGCGACTTCGAGGACACCTACTACAATCTGTCTCTGAAGATGCATCACACGTTCGTGTGGGCGGCCAGGTTCTGTCGCGAACGTCCTGCCTTCATGTTCCTCGACGATGACATTGGTTTCAATGAAAAGCGCCTCCAGGCCGTTCTGTCCAGTCTGCCGGTGGATTGGCGGCGCAGAGTTTCCATTTCGAGTACTCGCTGGAATAGTCCCACAGTGCGTCCCACGGACACTCCGGCCGTCCGAAAATGGGCACTGTCGAAGCGGGAGGTTCCGTGGCCAGTGCATGCGCCCTACAGCAATGGATACTTCTACATGCTTGGTTACGATCACGTGGCGGATCTGGCTTTGGCCATGTTCTACACCAAGCGCATTCCTATTGACGATGCGTGGTTGGGTCTGGTGATGCATAGGATTGGTCTTCAGTTCGAGTTGCCAGCTGGGATCGTGTACACGTTGAAACATCAGGACAATGTCACCGGCTATATCGCCTTGCCCCTCCAATCTCTCCTGAGCGCATACATGCGAGGACGTCTGTAGTGGAATTTCGGTATGGCGATATTCGTATCCATGGCTTGCAAGCAAAATCACCCCTCACAAAACCCATGCACATCCTGTGTGTGTCCATACGACATCTTCCTTTGCGTTTTAGTGATTATACGGAGTGTGAAATGGTTTTGCCCAACTGATATTCTATATTAGATAGCAATTCCTACTATACCTAATTTAGATCTGTCTATTGCATTGGGTCTTGTGTGTTTATATTTTGTAAAATTAAATATTTATGAATGCTATTTGAATGTGGTCATTTCGTCGCAACTGCTGCGATAACCACCCTCAATGCATGATGAGAGGAAAATTTGTATTCACCTCAGCCACTGTATTTTCTTCATTTGTCATTCATCTGTCGCATTCGAGCCAGGGATTTTACTGGTACTTTGACCTATTGTATTCCTTTTACTGCCTATCGTCTGAACTGTCGTATGTTATCTCGACTTCATCCGAGTAAATTCCGTTTGTCTCGGCATTTTATGTGCTTTATTCTATGAATGGCATCGGCTGAACCGTCGTGGCGTCAGGGCTGTAATCACCTGTGGCGACCGTGTTGGTGGTGGTGGTGGTGGTGGGGGCGGTGGTGATGGTGGTGGTGGTGGTGGTGGTGGTGGTGGTGGTGGTGGTGGTGGTGGTGGTGGTGGTGGTGGTGGTGGTGGTCGATGACGTGAAGACTGGTGCAGTGATGACGTAGAACTCAGTCCTGCTTCATTCCATTGGTCATCGCGAAGGCCACTCAATCGATCTCATTGGACGTGACGCGAGCGCAATCATCGTGTCAACGATCCGAGGCATCATGTACGGGAATCGCTCCGGGCAGTCAAAGTTCTGCAATTCACTGTGGCTGATGTTTTAGTCAAAGGCTCTCAAGTGGTGCCGATTTGGTTCCACATTTCTTAACAAGCTACCTAAGGTTACCGGGTAGGGAAATTCATGCCGATTTTTCTGCGGTATCATCTGAAGAAACACTGGTTTTCGGGTAGACGTTGGTGTTCCTGATAGCCGCTGAGACGCTCGCGTCACTGAGCTCCTTGGTAAATTGTTCTTTGTGTTCTTTGTTCTTCCTTTATTCTTTCAGATTATCGTCGTAAATTTACTAATCACGTGATGTAACTAGTCTTAGAGACTACAGCTCAGATCGTGTAGGACGCCGGTGCTTTCCTGATTGGAATCCGTTGCACGGCTTTGATGGCTTCTGGAAGGAAAAAAAGCGGTGTCCTGTATCCGGAGCCGATTTTGCCTCATTGCTGTCAACGTTCCTTTGGGGTTCCTCGACCTTCTTATCCATTAAGGCAGCATGCCTCTCACACAGCCGCTGCTGCACAAGACGGTGACACCTGAAGAAGGCCATCTCTTGCTTCGGTACGACAGTCTGTCCTTCTAGACGAGTAGGTTGTAAACATTTGTGTCGTTGTCGTCAAACCATTCCTGATTGTGACGACGTGTGCGACGGACGACAACCAATGCGGTGGAATGTATAATGTTCCGCGCCTGATACCACCATGTCCATGCCGTGATTTTTTGCGAGGTTACAGTCGAAGAACTTTTTTGAGATGGCGGGGCAATGATACCTCCAGTCGTTGACGTCGCAGATCATATTGAGCACCAACACCTCCCGGGAGGAAAACGCAACCCAGCATCTGCCAACGCCGCGGTGTTGATGGAGCATCGAGGTTGCAGCCTCCTTCGTTGAATAAGGGAAGAATGTGCTGGGTTAGAGGAGACAGTGTTCCGCGCAGGTTTGCAGAAGGAGGAGGCCGTTTTTGTTGGAGCCGCCGCGTTCGGAGCATTTTTCCGGTCTTTTTGACGTATTTGCTCTGTCCTCAACTGCGCCAGATCCGATAAACGATTCCAGACGTTTTTTTGTTGTGGCAGAGGGACTTTCGGTCTCATAATCTGAAGTCTGATGGTTGCGTCCGGTCTGTGTGCAACTCCAACCCCTTGTGACGAGGGAGGGCGGCTAACAGCTTTCTTAACTTTCTTCACATACGCAGGCGATCGCCAAAATTTGGAGTCCGTTTGGTTTGACGTTTCATGATTCAGGCTTGAGAAATTGTTCACAGTCCCCCCAGTTTATTAACGAAAGCAATGATATGCCCCTTCCATATTCGGTGCTGAGACTTCGCCTCATTGCTTTCAACGTACCTTTGGAGTTCCTTGACCTTCTTATCCATTAAGACAACATGCCTCTCACACAGCCGCTGCTGACGTCTGACATCTGTTGACATCTATGTCGTTTATGTCAAACCCCTACTGATATTGACGACATGCGCAACCGACAACAGCCAAGACGGCGGAGTGGACAAATTTTTCTTTACGCAACATCTTTCGGAATATCGTTGTAAGCTAACTTATAACGCGATGTATCCAGTCTTGTAGACTGCTGCCCAGATCGTGTTGGATTTCGGTGCTTTCCCGATCGGAATCCGTTGCACAGCTTTGATGGCTTCTGTAAGGAAAGAAGCGGTGCCTAGGATGTCAATTGTTTCCAATTGGGGACATTTTTGTCAAGCACCTCCTGATATTGACGACGTGCGCGACCGACAACCAAGATGGTGGAGTGGACAACGTTCCGCAGTTGATACCACAGTTTATATACAGTGGTTTTTGTGAGGTTATAGCCGGAGCCTCACTTTTGAGAAGGTGAGGCGTTGATAACTCCAACCGTCAGCGTTGCAGATCGTTTTGGTCACCAGCACTTCCTCGAAGAGAACGCATTCCAGCAGCTGCCAGCGTCAGGGGGTTTCATCCAGGTTGCATTCTCCGTCGTTGAATAACAGAAGAATGTACTGGGTTGGAGGAGACAGTCAAAAGAAGAAGAGGCGTCTACCGCGAGGGGTTTATTGGGGGTCCGACGTTTCGTCTAGTTGATTTGTTTACCCGTCTTTAGAGACTGGGAAGTCCTGCGTCCAGCTCCCCTTCTATGGCGCACTTTGTTCAATGCATGACGCGCAAATGCCGCCTGTGTGCCTGCATCCAACCCGCATGTCACCGTGACCTGAATCGCCTCCGTCGGCCGCGGCGATGACTGACGGCCCCGATTGTCCCGCGCCGTGACTGTCCCCCTTTAAGAAGGTTCGTAAAGTCACATAGGGCAGAGGCAAATTGATGTGGCGGTTGCCAGAGCAGTCGATGGACATCCAGGTTTCTTGCACTTGCCTTGATATATGATCACCGCCCCAGCCCACAATCTCAACAGCGTCAAAGTTGAAGGTGTGTCCCATTTGCGCGACATGGGTTGCTACTTCCGACTTCGGGTCCAACCTTCGCAAGGCCAACTTATGCTCCTGCATTCGCGTTTGCAGCCGTCGGCCGCGCAAATGTGACACATCTTCAACTGTGACGCTGTTGAGCTTGTGGACCGGGACGGTGAGCATATGACAAGGCAGCTGCAAGAAGCCTGGATGTCCACCGACTGTTCTGTCAACCGCCACATCAATTTGTCTCCCCCCCCCTATCTGATTTATGAGGCTTACTAACGGGGGGGGGGAAATTGAGGCCGTCAACTATCTCCGCGGCCGACAAGGACGGGAGCGACCCAGGTCACGGTGACATGCTGGTCGGATGCAGCCACACCGGCGACATTGGCGGGCCAGGCATCGAACAAAGAGCGCCGCAAGAGGAAGGCTGTGTGCATGACTTCTCAGTCTCCAAAGATGGGTAGAAGAAACGACTACTTGAAACGTTAGACCTCCAATAAACCCCTCCCGGTGAACGCCTGCTTTTCTTTTGACATGTTACCTGGGAGTCTCATTTTCGCTACTATTAATGGAGGAAACGATATTTCGCTCAGGTCTGCAGGAGGAGGAGGAGGAGGGGGAGGTCGTTGTCAATGGAGCTGCCGAGTACGTAAGTATCAGGGAGCCCCACTTCCCCCCAGGCAGCGTGGTCTGTCTCGAGGGGGTCACTGAAGTCAGCAAAGACATTCAGCGTGTCCACAGTCAGCACAGTCCCCGGGAAGGCATGCAGGACGTTGTGGAACTTCTTTTGCACCTGTTTGGAGCTGCTCATTGGGCAAGCGTATCTGCTGAAGACAGCGGAGGATTTGGCTTCCCGAAGAGGCAGACGCGGACTCATGATATGTTGGCTGACGTCCTGCGGAGGAGAAGGGAGCCACCCCACGATTTCGTTACGGACGACAAAGGCGGCGCCAGCGTCACGTCGCTTTAACTTTGGGAGACCACTCCAAAAGAATGTGTAGCCCCCACTCACCTACTCCTGTCAGCCTTGTTCGGAGAAACAGGTCTAACTGAGGACAGCGATATCCAATTTGTTGCGCGTCACTTCTCGAGCAACTTGTGCCCCCTCCCTTTCTAGTCGGTTGTTCCGCGGATTTCACAAAGACAATCAACAGCACGGGTTGTCAACTTGAGGGGAGGCAGTCTAGCAACCTGTGCGGTAGAATGGAGAGTCTGATGGTCGAGGACTGCTGTTTGTTTGGTTGTTTCAACTCTGAGTAGTAGATATTTGCAGTCACGGTATGCGTGCATTTATTGCCCTTGTTAATACTCTGGTGTCCGTGAACCATGACGCAAGCAACTCGCGGCTCACGCGGTTGTCGTCATTAGCAAGAATTTCGGCCTCTTCGAATTTGAATGTGTGGCCGAATATCGTCAAATGAGCCGCAAATTGAGAGCTGACGTCATTTCTGCGCACCCCTTCCGCGTGTTCGGCCATTCGTGTTAGGAGCATTCTTCCGGTTTCTCCGACGTATTTGTTTTGTCCGCAGTTACACCAGATCCGATAAACGACTCCAAACGTTTCTTTCCGTGGCAGCGGGTCTTTCGATTCCCTTATCTGACACCTGATAGTTGCCTCCGGTTTGTGTGCAACTCCAACCCCAAGTAGTGAGTAAATGTGGCCGGCAGCTTTCGAAAAGTTCTTTGGCATACGGAAGGGCCGGTCAAAATTTGGGGTCCGTGCGGTTTGGCCGTCCACGAGTCAAGGGTTACCGATCCCCAGGCTGTTAACAAGCGCAACAAACTTCCCCATCCATATTCGGTGCTGATACCTCGCCTAGGCGGAGTAATGAGTCATCTGGAGAGCGCACAGGTGAACACTATACTCAAGACCAGGGTCTGTGGGTCAGATGGTTAAGAAATCCTCACACGGACACCGAACACCCCTGTTGAAATGACAGTGATTAACAAGGCGAATGTGGGCCATCAAATTACCTTCACGCCAAAGTGCAACGATCCCTGATGAAGGGGGGGGGGGTGGGGGGAGCCGTGAATATTCATAGGTATGAGGGAGCATGGCGAGTGCATCCTATAAGTACTTCTGTCCATTTTGCATGAACCACCCATATCTGCTATTGCCTATGATAATGGGTTCGAGCAGGAATCCGAAACGTCAGGCGAATAGACCTCTTGTCCCAGCGATAGTGTCTCCTTCTTCAAGAATGTTTCTTGGAAATCGACTTTTCGATTCTATTGTCAATGCAGTATCGTCTCTAAGTAGGACTACTGAGACGTCCCAGAGGGCTGTCGAACTGCACTCTGGGCGCTCTATGGGATTGTATGTCGCCCTCTATGCAAGGCTTTTTGAGGCGAGGGTATGGTTTCTGCCCGGGGTCATCAACAGTTTAATCTGACGAGCCTTTCTAACGGGAATGGTGATAATAGGTTTACAAGGGTGGAGTTTTCGAGCGCACGCAAAAGCAATTTGAGAAAATATAATAAGATGAAAAGTAGAACTACGTCTAAAACCTATTAATGCGCTAGGCATGCCAACAGTAAGTAGGTGCAAACATTCGAAAAACTACCCAAAAATGGTAGTCAAGGAAATTCGGATAACTGAATAAACCGCCGTCAACTGACCAATGGAAGCTCAGGTTTCAAGAGAAATAGCAACCAATGGTAGTTGGTCGCAGGCGTTAATCGAAAGTGCAAACGACGCAGATTGTGAGCTATACCGGGAAGCGAAATAAATATCAAACATTTGCAAAAAATGTAAAACGAATAACAAGAAGGGAGTAAAACAAGTTAAGCTAAATGGTAGTCAGAAGGAATAAAAAGTAAAGGAAAGTCTGGTAATGTTAAGAGGCGTGGCTTACAAATAGATATATACAGTAGGTGGGTTACTCATGAAATATCAACCGAAATTCCGAAAAGCCTTTTCGTTTTCAGAAGATTAATCAAGTAGTCTTATAAAACTAATCATCCTACAGGTATTTCTATAATATTTCAGTTACCTCAGGATGCCGTTTTTTGAACGAACTTCATTCCGGCTGTATGCAAGACTATATTGCTTAAAAATGATTACTTAAGTAGCACGCATTTTTCTCATTGATTATTCGATGCCCCTAAAAATTCAATTATATTTCATGGAAAACATGCACTTAATTATTCCTTCCCTTACTCATTCGGTAGAAAAGGACGTCCTCATCAAATATTATGCTTGAAGGAAGGGTAATATTCGGCTTTAAAAAACTGTTCATTGTTAACTTTACAAGCCACATTGGTAGATGCAGAGACATGACGTTGTATGAACTGTCGTTTCGTCGTATGAAAAATCTTACAAATAGAAACTTCTTGAAAACCGAATTATACCCCTCCTCCAAGCATAAAAGTGAAAAAAGACGTAAGTGCCTACCGAATGAGCAAAACAATGAATATTTGTATGCATGTTTTCCGTGAAATATAATTGAATTTTTAAGGGCGTCGAAAATCAATTAGGAAAATGCATCTTACTTAGGTAGCCATTTTTTACAGAGTATAGTTTTACATGCAGCAGGAAAGAAGTTCAATCGAAAGCCGGCGTCCTTAATTATACTGCAGGCTGACTAGTTTTACAGCCATAATTAATTAATATTCTCGAAGCGAAAACGCATTTTGGAATTTCAATTGACATTTCTTGAGTCAGCCCGCCTACTGTAGGTATGCGTTATGGAAATAAGTCATGGAACATAACGAAGATTTCGGAATGAAAAACAAATTCACGGCTTGAATACTGATACACAGAAATTCTTTCAGTCCATACAGATATAAACAGTATATGTGAACAGCTGATAGATTCAATGATAGAAAATAGCGATAAACCGTATACAATTTTTTATTGAAAGCAGACCACAGCCTGAACAAACTGTATGACGCAGACGACCTAAGAGAGACATACCAACGGAAGTTGAGGAGATGATGGAAATGTTGAACTCCGACAAGGTGGTGCAATATTGCCAAGGCAGAGAAGTGCTACCCAAAATTTGGAAATGAAAATGTCATTGGGCAATGCGGCGGCAAATTCTCAGGAAACACACTGATGGTTTATTCTTCATTTTAACTGTTACTGTATTACCAAGGCACTGCGAACAGGTTCAATATTTGAAGGCAGCCACGTAACAATCAAGAAGATTTTAAACTTTTGCCTGTCATTCTTAAGAGGAGCCAGAGTGCGGCAGTGCCAAATGAAAGTGAGAGTGAGCCATGCAACGGCAGTGGAATGGTACGGCACATGTCGAAATGTGTGTTCCGTGACCCTCCTTAGCTAAACCTGACGGTTTGACGGTAATATCATTTTGCCTTTATCGTGTGCCTATGCACAGCTACTGGTTTTGCTCGATAGAGAGCACGGGCCAGTGATACACATCGACCAGGTCTAGGTGATACACAGAAAAATATAATCTAACAAGAATTACTTAAGTAATTGCAGTAGCCAGCCATGTATATTATTATACCTGCCCAGGTTAAAATCCATACACTTACCCTTTTTGAAAGTTGCAGTGCGTCTGACGATATACAGCAGGCATACTTTTGGTCGATCATGTACTAAACGCTATGTGGGGATGTGAATGCGCGTATCGAAGTGCGTGTTCTTACTGCGCACTCTGCTAACAAACGCAAGAAGCGTATTGAAACTGTCGACAGGTATTTTTTTCAATTCGACGCGCAGATGCGTCCAGATTGGCTGATCTCCAAAAGCGTGCATTGTAGCAACCTTACAAAGTTCACGTCTTAGCTGCATACATACTAAAGAACAGAACTGTCGGGTTAAACCTAATTAACATGCAAATACTCGCACCTACAACAGATTAAGGGGTTGTATCTATCAGCGACTGGCCAGTTATCTAAAGGTCCTCTGCGCAGCACAAGACTACAGCCCATTGAATTGCCTCCAAACTGTCCCTTAAGATCTGGGAAAGTAGGCTTAAATCTACTTGCATGTAAAGTCGAGGCGAAGGTTGGGTTTTAAACACGCGCAAAAGTACTTAAACCATGCATTATATTTGTTTGGTCAGGCAATGCATCTGATTAGCTCTATCGTTCGAGACATTTGTGTATAACTTATACCAAGGTCAGCAATGTGAATTCTTCGTTTTTCAAGGCCTGTGTATAACTATAAAAGCTTTTATTCAGGATACTTTTGGCTTTTAACATAGAAACTGACCAATCAGGAGCCAGATAGAATTGAAATGGCAATACTTTGAAAGCACAGGCCGAAATTCTCGTGAGAGGGGCTAATCGCGTGAGCCGCGAGTTGCTTGTTTTATGCTTCACGGGAACTCAGCCTATCAATAAGTGCAACGACATGCCACTCCATATTCTGTGCTGAGGCATGGGCTGACTAAAGTAATTGACCACTCGAGTAGCAAGCAATCCGGTAAGACAAATGATCAATCAGTCATCACGCCAGCATTCAACACGGGTGATGACATTTCGGTAATTTACAACTTGCATGCCGACCATCAAGCAATCAGCACACCAGCGGCAACAATCCTTCATGAAGGGGATCGCAGTTAATTGTTATAGGTGGACGCCTTCTTGTATGGATCCAGAGCGTTTTGGCAGGACGGTTCCAAAGAGTGCAGGTCGGGCGTCAACAGCCAAAACACCTGTTGAAACATGTGAAAACTCCTAAAGCCATATGTTCCGTATTACAGTTGGCTGGGGTTTCTTTATTTCAGGTGGGGTACATAACCACAACCGACCGAATTTTTCATAGACCGTGAAAAGCTCATTCACAAAGTATCGCATAAGCACTTCATTAACACTACAACCTGATCCACATGCATTGTACAATTTTATAATTGCTATTGGACGTCCTCCTATAAGCGTAAATTTATGAGTGTTGGCTGTACTCGTGTCTCGCCCGAGTTGCCGTGATTTTAAGTCAGACAGAAACTACCGATTATTCTGGAGGTAGTCATATGAATTATTTAAAACTGTCGAAACACTTGTAAGAACCCCTTATACCACCGGTCCCGTATTATAAGTGACTTAGATTTGTTTACTTCAAATGGGGCTACATAAGCACATCCGATCATAATTTATAGAGACCGTAAAATTTTCATACACAAAGCATCGCATCAGCACTTTACTAATACTAAAACGTGGTCCACATGCATTATACAAATATATAAGCGCTATAGGACGTCCTCCAACGACCGTAAATGAATGAATGCTATTCCTTTGTCGAAATGTATGCAGCATGTTGTTTGGAAACCCTGAATAATAGTGCATCAACGGGTGGGGCAAAAACTGTTCGGGAATTGGAAAAGTCTTAAAGTCAAAAGATACCCGATTGGACTATAAGGTCATTCACCACCAATAACCATCCATCCTCTTCAACTTCAACCTAGTAATCTGTCATAAACCTGGTGAGGACAAATTCACTGCTGTCATTCTTTAAACGAGTAGACAATGCGACGGTCGTCGGGGATTCCCTCTTATTACTTGTGCACTTTAAAACGCCTTTTACTTTGAATGGAGAAAAACCCCTGAGGCTTTAAGAGTGCGGTCAGCTTATTAGCCAAAAAAGTAGCGCTTTCGGCCATGCAAACAGACAAGTGTGGAAATCCCCTCTTAAATTATGAGGACGCTATGCGTCAGGATATGTTGTGGATTCAGAAACAGGTCCTGTCGTGCAGCCGATGTGGAGTATTGAATGCAACCCTCATCCTGATGTTTATTTCGGACGTTAGGCGGGGCAAGAGAGTTGGCCTGATGACTAATGTACATATCAGCAGCTAAATTAGTACTCAACGCAGATCGTCAAACGGAGACATGAGTCGGCAGCCAGTGGGAATACTTGCCATGAACTTCTGTTTGCACTAAGACGCGCTGCCTGATTGGCTAGGCTTTAACTGCCGGTAGGCATCCTTCAACATGTTTTGTAACACGCAGGACTCAATAACGCCCCTGTATAAGTCATCGCGTAGAAGACGTGGGTTCCACTTTTTGAACTTGGCTGAGAAAAAGCAAGAAGAGGCTACACCGTGATGACTGGATGCGTGCGGTCTCACCGTACGTGGATCCTCATTTTAGCCTTACTGGCAATAATAAAGATACTCTGTGATGTTTTCTTCACAAGCGAATGGGCGTCAAACGCTGTCAAAACGAGGACAATTCGAGTTTCATCAGTAGTATGCAATGAGCGTTGGATTAGTATCAGCCAAATGACACGGGATGGCAGCTACGACCTGAATCTTCGTTACTGTGTAGATCCTAACCTTCCCGTAACCAGACACGACACAATTTCACTCCGTCGATTCAGCAAGAAGGGTGGATTTCGTAAAATCAACTTTGCAGAGATGGCCCAAATAAACGATACTGACTGGAAAAGGCCAATTAATCCGGAGGTGTTCCTGTTGTATCCGCAGGGTTTTGCTCTGCGTGAGGTCCTACGGAATTACCGGGAGACTGGCTTGGTTCCTGAGGTAAGTACAGATTCTCTTTCAAATTGACCCCCTCGAAGTCTAATCGGCGTGTCCCCTTGAATTGAGACCCTGATGGATAGCCACTTCATTCCTGACGTCAGAATTTGGGGGGTTTATATGCTTACGGCCATGATCTTAGCACTGAATCGATCAAGGTGGCCGTTCTGGCGAAAGAGACTTTCGTCAACCTAAAGCCCTCTCCTTATCAATGATATCAGCCGAGCAGATCCTTTTCAGCCTTTCTGCCAAACAGCAGACCAAACCACGTTTCAAATTTAGCGTATGAAACTCCAAAAATTGGTCGTCATCTTACGGCAGAAGATACGTCGAATACTGCCGTCACACATTCTACATAGAAGTACGTATAGAAAGAGAAGCGAACGGGGCTGTTCTTTATCCAGCGTGAATTTGATTGATGAGGGGGGGGCCTGATTGATATTATCTAGTAAAAGAGTTGCGAAAATTCGCATAATAGTAATCAGGAGACGAGGTGGCGAGCATACGTAGATTTCAATAAATTCTCCTCAGGCCGGTGCAGTTATACAGGAACGGGGTAGAAGTAAAGCATGTCAGCGATAAGAGAAATCAATAAAAATTCGCCTTAAAACACAGAGGAGGTGTGGGAATGTGGGGGAGGGGGGGGCGGTAAAAGCAGTCAGTGTCAGGGGCGGGGTGAGAGCAGAAGGGAGCGGAGAGTTGCAGCGTTAGTCGACCTTCAACCACTGCAGGCGCGAAGCCTGAACGTGGTTCTTCTCGACGCATAAGAATGGCTTTCGTAACCTAATGGCGGCCGCTTCTGCTGTCGCTAACAAGCGCTGGCATACTGGCTCGATGGGACCTTATAACTCACACGAAAAGCTTAGTTGGGATCCACACGATGGCCGGCGTCGACAACATGCGCGAGAATGGCGCTGCTTATGCTCCTCGTTTCGCCCTTTCCCAGTCATGCGGGGGGGTGTTCCCGTAGTCTCTTGGATAAGCGCCGACTCATACGACCAATATAACCTGCTCTACAGGAACAAGTCAAGGAATAGATGCAAATTGAGGTGGTCTGCGGTGACAATTTATCCTTACCTTCTCCGAGTAAAATAGGGTTAGTAGAGAATAATATTTGAATCCTTTCCACTGGGAAGGTTCACGAGGCAGTTTGATCAAGGCGTCTCCTCAGGAGTTCACTCGCAGCATTCCCTTGGAAAGGGACTTTGAGGAACAAAGTTTTCTTTTCGGCGGTTGCTCAGGCGAGTTTGATCGGTCTTTCGGCAATGTTCTTTGTAAAAAGCCAGTTAGGATACCCGTGTACGCGAAGGAATTCCTGGCGTTTTCTAAGCTACTCCTCGATGCTATCTGTGGAACAAATTTTGCTAGCTCTTTGTGCCAAACATCGGTTTAGATTTCGTTTTTGTTGGAGGGGTACGAAACTGGCGAAGTTCGTGTATTGTCCAGACCAGCATTTCTTCCCCCACATTCCCATACCTCATCTGTGTTTTAACGATAACTTTTATCGATTTCTCTTATCGCTGACATGTTTTACTTCTAATCCGTTCCCAAAAGCTACGTATGCTCGCCACCTCGTCATCTAATAAAACTGAGACGTCGTTTTGTTCCTTCGCGATCGCGAATATATCATCCACGTATCACCCATAGTATCTTAAACCGTTGATTGGAAGATAAAGCTGAAAAGCTTTTGGCTTTCCCATGAATATATGCGCCATAATCGTGCCAAGCGGGTGAGCCCGTATCTACACTGTCCACCTTTCTATACCAATTGTTGTCAAATAGGAAGTGCAAGTTCAAGGCACGCCCCAATAACAATTTCTTGAAGGCAACCATCAGCATTCCTATGTCCTGCTGATAAGAGGCAATGAAATCACAGAGGTAGTTGAGCATTTCTGTGACTGGTACGTTCATAAAAATTAACAAGGCATCTAACTAGAACATAACCGTTCCGCTTAGGTCGAGGTCGTTCACGCCGTTAACGAATTCAAAGGCATCCCGGCAGCCGTGTGGCGCTAACCGATACTGCCGGGGCCTGAATTTCTCCGCTAGCCATTCTGTTATCGCATGACACTTCAGCTTCCTCATATCGAGGATCGGACGAACAATTGTGTTATCATTGTGGATCGCCAGCAATTTGTATAACCCAGGTATAGGCCTGACGACGGTCGGGGATGCTCTATTTCGTGTTCGCGTAGGAAACCATTCGCTGGAATTCTTTTCAGACAGTCCGTCTGTCGTTTGTTAGATGCTTCTCCTGTCCTGCCTTTCGAAACTTTTCTGGTTCGACAGGATTGACTGTATTTATGCGACTTCGTTATTAGGCCTCAGCATTTCTGGCCATTCTTCAGGTTTTGATAGGAGATATTGACTAACTTGGAATTAAGGTGTTGCACGCTCGCTGCCGAAACCGGCTGAAGGTCATGTGTTTGATTTATGAGGTTTTCGAATTGTGTCCTTAGTTTTAGCTGGCAGGGTTACTGGTGGGGACGGCATAAATTAGGAACAGGTGATAAAATTTGCATCGAGGTTTTATCGAAAGAGAGATACATACAGACGAATAACTGTGTACGTACTGATTTGAGTCTTCAGGAATCTTCCATTGTGATCTGCCTTCGTGTACACTCCGCAAATCAGAAGCAATCTCCATTTGCACAGGTTTTTTCGCCATGAACTAGGCATACGTCTTGAAATCCTTTCTCTCTTTCTCATCGAGCTGGTTATCTATTACCGCTCGTTGGCACATATCACGCCTTACTTCCTCCGCCTTTTTATCGGCGCTCTCAAGCCTATTTTCGATATATCCTTCTAAAGTATCAGAGGTGATAATCGAGCGATTCCGTCTCATTATTCTCTAGTAGGAAGTAGGACACTTGTCTCAGTCGAGGCATTCCCCAATAAGCCTTGATCATAATATCACCTCCACGACCGTGGTTTTGAATTGAACGTATCCATTGAGAGTTTCTAATACCAAGGTTTGCATTCGATTAATACTCTTCAGACCTGATTAATAAGAAAATTCGAGCAAGTAGAATTTATTCTGTGTCAGGGGTTCGCCATGGGGTGGGTGAGGGAAATGGTAGGCAATGAGACGGGCAATTATAGGCGGGCGGCTGGCATAGTTGCTTTAGTCCATGGTAACTGTGGGGTCTGTGCGAAGTTTTTCCTTGTTCATAGGACTGGTGTGCGTAACCTGATTGCAGCCGCCTCTGCCGTTGCCAACAGACGCTGTCCAAGTGATTTTTGTTGGCTTGACGGAACCTTGACCCAGAAAATATCAAAAGACCATTTGGCTAGCATATATCTGCTTTCGATTAATTCTCTTCAAGCCTATGCATTTATATTGATATTGAAATAATAAATGAAAGAAGGGTGCGGGCGAATAGATGATTATGCTGTAGCTCGGGTATAATTGAGGAGGCAAGTGAATCACCAAAAATGCACTAAGCGTCAGGCGGCGCATGATGCACACCAGGAAAGGCAATTATATGCGGGTTGGTGGCTTGACGGCTTTGGCCATGGAAACTGTGGAATCTGCATGAAGTGGTTCTGTGCGCACACGTCAGGTTCGTGCACTTTGACTACAGTGGACCTAAACAGCAGCCAACAGATGCAGCCCAAGTATGTTTGGGTGGCCTAGTGAAACCTTGCCAATCACTCAGGGGGCTTCATTAGTCTGAGGAGAAATTGTCGAATACAGACGTGTACTCGCCAAATTGTCATTTGAATTCTAAAAATTGTCAATTTCAAAATTGCGTGGAATAGCCATTTGCGGCAGCATTTTGAATGGGGGAAGGGGAAAAATTCACACAGGAGGTTCAGCTTTGTATTCATCAGCAAGCTATAACTTAGACCGATGTGGATTACGAATTGCAGCCTCCAGTTCAGTGCTCATTTTAAATGCTTTGCAGAGTTAGCTGGTGGGTTTGACTTCTGAAGCGCTGTCTAGCAGGTAGTTAGAGGGTGATTGACGGAAATTGCAAAGTAGAGTCGAGAGGGAATTTATTTTTAGAGTAAATTGCATGTGGATTTCGTCTGCAAAAACCGGATACCTTAATGTATGATTGGTTAGGATTTTATGGATGGCAAACAGGAATCGGAATGTGATGCACCACTCAGTGCATTATGCGTTTCAGTATAAATCCTCGACTATAGGGCGTGGGATTGAATTCTGAGCTTAATCGAACCAATTAGAACTGGCTTCATCACGATGGTTCGTTGCACGATGTCTTATTGTACGTGGATCCTCCTCCTGGCCGTATTGGCGATCCTAAAGTTACTGAGCGATGCCTACTTCGGGCGAGAATGTCTGCAAGCGCAATGTTTGCATTGAAGGTAAAATAAGCCGAAGCAGGATAGTGCAATCTTTAGAGGGGAAATTAGCCGAGGCTGAAACGGACTAGGCAATCTGATGTATGATAACCTTGTCGCGATATTGAAGGAAGCCTAGAAACCCTGCAAAAGACCTTTCTGACAGGAAAAATGGGGCTGCAGTATCCCATATCAAGGAATAATTCTAACCTTAAGCTCAAAAGCAAACCTTATCCTTAACTTTATTATAAACCTAATGCTAATCCTACTCCTAAACCTACCACAAACCCTAGCCCTAATCTTAGGCGTAACCTTAACCCTGGACCAAATCCTATCCTTTACCTTTAACCTAGCCCTAGCTTTAACCACAACATTAGCCTTAATCCTAACACGGCCCTAAACCTAACACCAACCTTAGCCCCAAACTTCACACCAAACGCCAGCCTAGAACGCAGACCAAACCTCAACTCTAACTGGAACCATTAAACGTAATACAAAACTTAATCCTAAACTCGATTCTCAGCCCGACATAAACCCAAGCACTAAAAATAACCCTTCCTTAAAACCAAAACATAAGCTTGCCTTTTCCGTTCTACATTTGGCTACCTCTCCAACCAGGATTTTAGCATCCGCCTTTAACTTAATTTACTTGAAATGCCCACATTGTGTTTACACTTGGAACCAGGACATCGTAACAGACCAGTGCCCGTACCCTGACACGCAGAGTAGTCAACATTGATGTCCTTCATTCTTCGGTTTTGGTCTCTGACCTGGTTTGATCTCTAGCACCAACAGATGCCCTGCCGTCGTGTTTATCCCCCAAGTTCTGTCTAGACACCAGGTTTCATCATATTTCTCTTGTATGGATCGCCTCTCTCTCTCGCTTAGCCTTCGATGCAGAGCGCATATCGATCGCCTACACGTGAGCACTTATCATGATTCCTTCCAGTTTAGTCCAATGAGCAAGTTAGGCAATTCACAACACTCTGTCGCACAGATAACCCTCACGTCACAGTCAGTTGGAGAAGACGGTGCTACTGCTTGTCAAGGTCTAACTGCTCCCATCTCATGCGTTATCGTCGTGCAGACTGGTATCAATTAATTTCGTTATTTTGAAAGCCGTAGCAATTCCCCTTTGTTGTTTACAGCGCCAAACAATGGAAGAATTCACTTCCCTAATTTCGGTGCGCACACCTTAGTCAGCAGGTGACAAGCGCCTAGAGAAAATATTATGGAAAACCCGAGGTGAGGAAATGGTAAACTACTGATTACTGAATTCAGAATGCAGGTAAATACTTGAATATAAACATTCGTACCAAACATATATGCGTATGTGCCAGGACAGTAGGCTGGTTGAGCCTCTTAACGTTGGAAATGCAATTAGCGAGACGATGTCCCTGAATAACTGACAGATATTTTGTGAATTTAAGGATTTTTCTTGTGATTTACCGGTATCGGGATCAGACATCTTACAAAGAGCATTCCTACCCTCCTAAGTACGCTTCATTTTTTAAAAATGAAACCACCAAACACAATTAACTAGAAGTAACCTTTGTCTCGTCTCTGCGACAAAATTCTTTTTAGTTCATTCAGAATCTTCTTGAACGTTTGCATCCTCCCATCAACGATCCCAGCATGCGGTTTCTCAAAGTGAGCACATCGGTTTGTCCACCAGAGGTAGATGACGTCGTTGACAACAAACACAACCACGACCTCGTCGTCATTGTGAAATCAGCCGTCTACAACTTCGAGGGCAGACAAGCCTTTCGCAGATTCTACGCCCACCTGAGAAAGGAGAGCAGCGTTAAACCACCCTATCGCATAGGAATAGTGTTCGTGGTGGGCCTGCCCACAAGCGCAAGCAGCAATGCATTCCAACGCGATGGTTTCAACGTCTCACTGCCCGGTCGCGCCGGCAACTCGCACGTCAACATTGCAAACCGCCGCACCCAGATCCAAATGCGACTGAAGCAGGAGATGCGTGAACACGATGATCTCATCGTGGGCGACTTCGAGGACACCTACTACAATCTGTCTCTGAAGATGCATCACAGCTTCGTGTGGGCGGCCAGGTTCTGTCGCGAACGTCCTGCCTTCATGTTCCTCGACGATGACATTGGTTTCAATGAGAAGCGCCTGCAGGCCGTTCTGTCTAGTCTGCCGGTGGATTGGCGGCGCAATGTTTCCATTTCGAGTACTCGCTGGAATAGTCCCACAGTGCGTCCCACGGACACTCCGGCCGTCCGAAAATGGGCACTGTCGAAGCGGGAGGTTCCGTAGCCAGTGCATGCACCCTACAGCAATGGATACTTCTACATGCTTGGTTACGATCACGTGACGGATCTGGCTTTGGCCATGTTCTACACTAAGCGCATTCCCATTGACGATGCCTGGTTGGGTCTGGTGATGCATAGGATTGGTCTTCAGTTCGAGTTGCCAGCTGGGATCGTGTACTCCTTGAAACATCAGGAAAATGTCACCGGTTATATCGCCTTGCCCCTCCAATCTCTCCTGAGCGCATACACGCGAGGACAACTGTAGTGGAATTTCGGTTTGACGATATTCGTATCCATGGCTACCAAGCAAAATAATCCCTCAAAAACCCATGAACATCGTCTGTGTGTCCATACGGCATCTTCCTACTCACCAGTTTACATTTGTACGTTAAATGACTTCGATTTAGTGATTATGCGGATGGTGAAATGGCTCTGCCTAACTGATATTCTATACCAGATAACATTTCCTACTATACCTAATTTAGATTTGTCTATTACATTGAGTCCTGTATGTATGCATTATGTGGTCCCAAATACTTATTAATACTATTTGAATGTGGTCATTTCGTCGCAACTGCTGCGATAACCACCCTCAATGCATGATGAGAAGAAAATTTGTTTTCATGTCAGCCACTGTATTTTCTTCATTTGTCGCATTCAGGCCAGGGATTTTACTGGTAATTTGACTTCTTGTATTCTTTTTATTGCAAATCGTCCGAACTGTCGCATGTTATCTTCGTCTTCGTCCAAGTTAATTCCGTTTGTCACGGCATTTCATGTGCTTTATTAAATGAATAGCATCGGCGGAACCGTCGTGGCGTCAGGGCTGTGATCACCTGTGACGACCGTGTTGGAGGTGGTGGTGGTGGTGGTGGTGGTGGTCGATGGCGTGAAGATTGGTGCAGGGTTGACGAAGAACTCAGTCCTGCTTCATTCCATTGGTCATCGCGAAGGCCCCTCAATCGATCCCATTGTCCATGACGCGCGCGCTATCATCCTGTCAACGATCCGAGGCATCATGTACGGGAATGGCTCCGGGCAGTCAAAGTTCTGCAATTCACTGTGTATGATGTTGCAGTCAAAGGCCCTCAAGTGGTGCCGACTTTCTTTCCACATTTCCTAACAAGCTACCTAAGGTTACCGGGTAGGAAAATTCATGCCGATTGTTCTGCGGTATCATTTGAAGACACACTGGTTTTCGGGTAGACGTCGGTGTTCCTGATAGCCGCTGAGACGTTCGCGTCACTGAACTCCTTGGTATGTTGTTCTTCGTGTTCTTTGCTCTTTGTTTGTTCTTTCAGATTATCGTCGTAAGTTTACTAATCACGTGAGGTAGCTAGTCTTATAGACTAGAGCTCAGATCGTGTGGGATGCCGGTGCTTTCCAGATTGGAATCCGTTGCACGGCTTTGATGGCTCCTGGAAGGAAAAAAGCGGTGTCCTGTATCCGGAGCCGATTTTGCCTCATTGCTGTCAACGTATATTTGGGGTTCCTCGACCGTCTTATCCATTAAGGCGCCATGCCTCTCACACAGCCGCTGCTGCGCAAGACGGTGACATCTGAATAAAGCCATCTCTCGCTTCGGTACGACAGTCTGTCCTTCTAGACGAGTAGGTTGTTAACATTTGTGTCGTTGTCGTCAAATCATTCCTAAATTGTGACGACGTGTGCGACGGACGACAACCAATGCGGTCGAATGGACAATGTTCCGCGCCTGATATCACCATGTCTATGCAGTGATATTTTGCGAGGTTACAGTCGGAGACGTTTTTTGTGATGGCGGGCCAATGATACCTCCAGTCGTTGACGTCACAGATCAATTTGAGCACCAACACTTTCTGCCGATCTAGCCCCCCGGGAGGAGAACGCAACCCAGCAGCTGCCAACGCCGCGGTGTTGATGGAGCATCGAGGTTGCGGCCTCCTTCCTTGAATAAGGGAAGAATGTGCTGGGTTAGAGGAGACAGTGTTGCGCGCAGTTTCGCAGAAGGAGGAGGCCGTTTTTTGTTGGAGCCGCTGCGTTCGGAGCCTTTTTCCGGTCTTTTTGACGTATTTGCTCTGTCCACAGCTGCGCCAGATCCAATAAACGACTCCAGACGTTTCTTGTCGTGGCAGAGAGACGTTCGGTCTCATAATCTGAAGTCTGATGGTTGCCTCCGGTCTGTGTGCAACTCTAACCCCTTGCGGCGAGGGAGGGCGGCTAACAGCTTTCTTAACTTTCTTCACATACGCAGGCGCTCGCCAAAATTTGGGGTCCGTTTGGTTTGACCTTTCACGATTCAGGCTTGAGAAATCATTCACCATCGCCCAGTTTATTAACGAAAGCAATGATATGCCCCTTCTATATTCGGTGCTGAGACTTCGCCTCATTGCTTTCAACGTACCTTTAGGGTTCCTTGACCTTCTTATCCATTAAGACACCATGCCTCTCACACAGCCGCTGCTGACGTCTGACATCTGTTGACATCTATGTCGTTTATGTCAAACCCCTACTGATATTGACGACGTTCGCAACCGACAACAACCAGACGGTGGAGTGGACATAGTTTTCTTTACGCAACATCTTTCGGAATATCGTTGTAAGCTAACCTATAACGCGATGTAGCCAGTCTTGTAGACTACAGCTCAGATCGTGTAGGATGCGGTGCTTTCCTGATTGGAATCCGTTGCTCGGCTTTGATGGCTTCTAGAAGGAAAAAAGCGGTGTCCTGTATCCGGAGCCGATTTTGCCTCATTGCTGTCAACGCTCCTTTTGGATTCCTCGACCTTCTTTTCCATTAAGGCACCATGCCTCTCACACAGCCGCTGCATCACAAGACGGTGACATCTGAAGAAGGCCATCTCTTGCTTCGGTACGACAGTCTGTCCTTCTAGACGACTAGGTTGTTAACATTTGTGTCGTTGTCGTCAAACCATTCCTAAATTGTGACGACGTGTGCGACGGACGAAAACCAATGCGGTGGAATCGACAATGCTCCGAACTTGGTACCACCATGTCTATGTGGTCGTTGTTAGCTAACTTATAACGCGATGTAGCCAGTCTTGTAGTCTACAGCCCTGATCGTGTTGGATTTCGGTGCTTTCCCGATTGGAATCCGTTGCACAGCTTTGATGGCTTCTGGAAGGAAAGAAGCGGTGCCTAGGATGTCAATTTTTTCCAATTGGGGACGCCGCTCGATGACGGCCACAGAGATCTTGTGTGAGCGGTTGAGGAACCTTCTGAAATGCCTGGTATAACACCTCAGAACTTGCAACTTCTGCGTCCGGAGTGTTTTCCCATTGCAGCTGAGAAGCGACACGGTATTTTGGATGTAGATTCGCAGACAGTTTGGATTAATTCGAAGACGATCTCTGTTTTATTGCTGTCAGCGTACTCTTGGGTTTCCTTTACTTTACGATTCATTAGGGCATCAGGTCTCTCCACAGTCACTGCTGCACAAGGCGGTGACATCCGAAGAAGGACGTCCGTCGGTGTGGCCGTCTGTTCTAGACGAGTAGGTTATTGACATCTATGTCGTTTTTGTCAAACCCCTCCTGATATTGACGACGTGCGTGACCGACAGCCAAGATGGTGGAGTGGACAACGTTCCGCAGTTGATACCACAGTTTATATACAGTGGTTTTTGTGAGGTTACAGCCGGAGCCACGCTTTTGAGAAGGTGAGGCGTTGATACCTCCAACCGTCAGCGTTGCAGATCGTTTTGGTCACCAGCACTTCCTGGAAGAAAACGCAGTCCAGCAGCTGCCAGTGCCAGGGGGTTTTAGCCAGGTTCCACCCTTCATCGTTGAATAACAGAAGAATGTGCTGGGTTGGAGGAGACAGTCAAAAGAAGAAGAGGCGTCTACCGGGAGGGGTTTATTGGAGGTCCGACGTTTCGTCTAGTTGATTTGTCTACCCGTCTTCAGAGACTAGGAAGTCCTGCGCCCAGTTCCCCTTATATGGCGCACTTTGTTCAATGCATGACCCGCAAATGCCGCCTGTGTGCCTGCATCCAACCCGCATGTCACCGTGACCTGAATCGCCCCCGTCGGCCGCAGCGGCCCCGACTGTCCCGTGCCGTGACTGTCCCCCGCTAAGAAGGTTCGTGTAGTCAGATAGGGGGAGGCAAATTGATGTGGCGGTTGACAGAGCAGTCGATGGACATACAGGCTTCTAGCACTTGCCTGGCCATATTATTACCGCCCCGGCCGGAGCGAGTCCGGTCAGATGTGGTTATGTAGCCCACTTGAAGTAAACAAACCCCAGCCACCTGTAATAGCATCAAAGCTGAATGTGTGTCCCATTTGCGTGACATGGGTTGCTACTTCCCACTTTGGGTCCAACCTTCGCACGGACAACTTATGCTCGTGCATTCGCGTTTGCAGCCGTCGGCCGCGCAAATGTGACACATCTTCAACTTTTACGCTGTTGAGCTTGTGGGCCGGGACGTTGATCATACGACAAGGCAGGTGCAAGAAGCCTGGATGTTTACCGACTGTTCTGTTAACCGCCACATCAATTTCTCTCCCCTCTATCTGATTTTATGAAGCTTACTAACAGTGGGCAATCGAGGCCGTCAGCTATCTCCGCGGTCGACAAGGACGGGAGCGATCCAGGTCACGGTGACATGCCGGTCGGATGCAGCCACACCGGCGACATTGGCGGGCCAGGCATCAAACAAAGAGCGCCGCAAGAGGAAGGCTGTGTGCATGACTTCTCAGTCTCCGAAGATGGGTAAAAGAAACAACTACTCGAAACGTTAGACCTCCAATAAACCTCTCCCGGTGAACGCCTCCATTTCTTTTGATATGTAACCTGGGAGTCGCATTTTTGCTGCTATTAATGAAGGAAACGGTGTTTCGCTCAGGTCTGCAGGAGGAGGAGGAGGAGGTCGTTGTCGATGGAGCTGCCGAGTCCGTAAGCATCAGGGAGCCCCACTTCCCCCAGGCAACGTGGTCTGTCTCGAGGGGGTCACTGAAGTCAGCAAAGACAATCAGCGTGTCCACAGTCAGCACAGTCCCAGGA